TCTCTCTCTCTCTCTCTGCCATTGCTTAATTTGACCTATAATTCTTATTCCCAATTTATTATATACTGCTCATCTTAGAGCTTGTGTTAATTTTAAGAGTTTTACATTAATGAATTCACACAAACCCTCCTTAAGTTCATTTTGCTTATGAAATGTATTGTTGTAAGTTGTAAAGATAAGTTACATGTATGCTAGTCCTCCTGTAATTCCACATAATTTTGAATCTACCTTTACTTAATTAGCTTGCTTGGAGGTTCAGTTGTAGTTTGATTGGGACAGCTTCACTGGTGACAGGTGTTTATTTTTCTGGAGTACGTAATGTTCATGTGCAGGGTAGTTCACGTGAGGAGGAGGAGGAGGGGAGGTTGTGTAGGAGTGTGTGAACAGTCAGAGTAATGTGAGAGGTAATACAGGGTTCTCTTTGCAGGCCTTATGCTCATGGCCGGACAGACATGATGCCCCTGGTTCCAAGTAACCCCTTGGCTATTAGTACTACCATAGACTCCAGCAAAAGAATCAAGCTTGTCCCACCCATCAAGCCTGACAATCGTGTCCCTTTAGTAATAGATACTTCGGACAACAATCACACCAACCGGGTGAGTGACTACATGCTTGTGCCGTGCTCTTGCCTGCACAAGTCCTACTTTCATCTTCATGCTTTAGTTCTGTTTTATTCACAGTTGGTAGAGGTTTGTTAAGTCTAGTGAAGAGTTATTAACTGCGCAATAGGGTTACTTTTAGGTGGTTCTGAGGATCAGTGTATATGTGACTCGATATCTAACCATGCCTCCTGGTTGGTGGTCTGGTCAACCGGGCTGTTAAATGCTACTGCTCGCATAATTACAGCCTAATTTATCAGATATCCTTTGGAGGCATTTTAATTAATTGATTTTATAAACTATTAATTGTGATAGGTTGTACTGTATTTGCCTAGTTGTATTTGCAAGGGAATGAGCCATGACTTTTGGGCCTCACTGCTTAACCCTTCATTGACTGGTGTATAGGTTCCAGAGCCTATTTAAGCAGTGTGTGTGATGGTTCATTGATTCTTCAACATACAGTATACTGTACATGGATGGGGTAATCATGATAACAAGTTATAGATAGAAGAGATAGATATAGATAGAAGTGTGTGAACCTTGTGTTTGTTATGAGTAAAAGGAATATGCTAACTACAATTTATGCAACTGATGTTTATATTGTAGTGGAGAATACTGGAGATTTATGTGGATTATTGTTGTTTGAGGGAGTCTTGAAAGGGAATTTAGACTGAAGTAATGTTATGGTGGTTGAAAGGGAGATGAATTCTGTGAAAAATTAATTTAAATGGAGGAGTGTTAGCAGTTGATGTATAAATAGTTTACCTAGGATGTGTGGTCGAGCTGTAGCACCACAGTTAGTGCAGTTGGCTTGCAACTGAATGTATTGTGCTTGAACTTTGTTCCTAGACAAGGTGAGTTGTTGGGTTATAGGTATTGAGGAGTTAGCCAGCTTTTGTGGCTTGCATCCTGGGAGCTTGAGCCGCTCACTCACTGGCCTAGGGAAAACCTCAGTAGACCTAACAGATTTCCTGTAACTGATGATGATAGCAAAATATAATGTGAAAGAAAGGGAAGTTGCTGGTGCAATGAACATTTTTGTTAGGCTCGGTTAGGTAGTAAAGTATAGAAGTAGACGCTGTCAGAGAGCATGGAGTGGTAATACACGAACTTGTCAGGATGCAAGATGCTGGTGTTTTGTGAACATGATAAATCTAGAATTAAAGCAGTAGAAATGGGCATTCCTACAGTTATGTGTAACATTTAAAGAGTATAAAAGAGTAAGAATGAAAATGACATGAACAACTGTAGAGTATAAAAGTTGATTACTCATAAGATTTATGAAAGTGTACCAAGATGATTTGATTAGATTGAATAAGTGGATGATGATTGACTAGTGGACAGATGTATTGGATTGAATTTTTGGGAATTTGGTGCCAAGATGATGGGTAGACATAGGCCAGAATTCATCAGAATTTACTTGTCCAGTTATGAAACCTGTGTGCCCTTTCTCATTAATAGCAGCCAAATTTGCATTTATTAAACAGTACGACCTCCAATGCACCGAGAGGGTGTCTATAACAATAACCTTGGATTGCAGACTTTTGATTCTTGTAAACTGTTTAATAAATACAGATTCAGCCGCAAGGATCGTGAAATCATGAAAGGTTCATACGTGACGTTTGATGAATCCTGACCCTGGTATGTAGGAAAGTTAAGTCTGAGTTTGAGCAGTGTATGAAAAGTGTTAAGGAGCGTGGCTAGGAGCAGCAGTTTATGAAGTGAATGTTTGACATTTGTATTGTATATATATGAGAGTTATGTCATGCTTCCATGCAAGGCTCATGGAGTAAAACTTTCCCTCGTAAATCAGTGAACCTCCTGGCCTCAAATATGCAAGTTCAAAATGTCTAGGGGTGAGTGAAAGTCTTAAGTAAAATCCACACCAGTTAACTGGGGCAAACTTATCTACATGACACAACTTATTTACAATCTCTATATACATATATACCCACAACCAAGTAAGTTAGTACAATGCACAAGTCATAGCAGCTAGATGTCACTAAGCAAAGATCACCTAATAACATTGGTACACTAAACAGCTCAAGACTGGCTGGTAGGGTGTGAACATGGTGGGTGGTGACGTTACATAACCAGAGTGAGGGGTAATGTCTCGGCATGAACATCAGTAAACACAAGTCGGTGAACTATCATTTTGCTTTCTGAAAAACTAAGTTCCAACTGGACTGGCAAATGGCAAAGTTAAAAAATTCTTTCTCAAAAGTCAAAGTCCACAATGACAGAAAATATGAGTCAAGAAACACTACTGAAGTTAGTCCACAATGACTGACAAATGGCAAAGTCAATTACTCATCTTCAAACGTCAGGTAAAATAACTGAAAAATCTGGCAAGAGTCGGGAATCGCCTCTCAAAAGTTAAAGTTCACACAGGCATCCAAAATATGACGAGTTCCCAAATGGAGATAACAATTATAAGTCACTTCACAAGAGTTATAATTTGCAAATTTAGTGATTAACACTTATTTTAACTCTGATCCCCACAATAATCTTCTTGCCTTACTGGTAAGAAGACAATCTCTGAGAGAGCACACACAACATGTGTGACCCGTGCAAAACCCAGAGACCAGCAAGTCAGCTCCTGGCTGGCCACCACAGGTCTACTAACAATACCAACATTGTACATTCATGTAAACGCCTCTCTGAGTAACAAAAAACAAACATAAAATACTTAAGTAAATTATACAACTCTGGGACATGCACAGATGTTCAACTACACAAAATTAGCTTAATACATACATACAACAGGAACAAGAAGCTGCCAACCACCTCACAGGTTGGCTGTATTGACAGACACTCGGGCACGGGATTGGGGGGGGGGGGAGTGCTAGTGGCAGCAGGTGCTCCTCGCAACTGGTGAAATGAGCAGTTAACACTCACACACTACATCATGTATACAATAACAATAATACAATGCAGTACTGTACATGTGTATATAATGACATTATAATACAGATATGCATAAATTTCAATACTGCAGCAGGAAAAAATACATAATACGAGGTACATTAACAATTAAAGGTATGACTGCAGCATATCCTGTTTAAACTGGTTAGGCTGGATCATAACAACAGCTCACATGGAACACTGTTACCCTAGTCTTATGAAGTAGTTGAGATTCTAATGTGGATGATTTTCTGAGGAGTAGATTGAGCCTTGAACAGGGCAGGTCTGTGCGGCACTGTTCCTTGACTTCTTGTATGTTCTGTGGATGACTAAAGGGTAAAGCTTAACTCGAGCTGTTGGATAGAAAAGCTCTAAGCCTGCTGTCAATACTATCTAGTCTGCTACTACTTTTAGTACTGTTGAATTACCTGGTCACTTTACTTGTGCTGCCTCAGTGCATTGTCCTTTTCATTAGCCTATACAGCTTGCAGTGGTTTTGGGGGATCAATGTCCCCCACAGCAAGGTATCTGACTAGGGCTCCTAATGAATGTTCCTCCTAATATAATGAATTCTTTTGTCTTAAAAATCATCATCATTGATACAAATCATGACAAATTATTCATCATTGTATTTCGTTGTCTGGGGAAGCTTAGTCAGGGTAATGTCCAGATGGCATGACAGGTAATTGAATGAGAAATGGTGTTTTGAACATGGTGTGGCCATGTTCAAAACATGGTAGGTGTAGGTGTGCACCTACACGTGGGTGTAGCTGGTATATCGGGTCTTTTATCATGTTTTTTTTTTATTCCAAATTAATGTAATCTTGGTTCTCGCTGGTTGTTTTGTTATAGTTATCAATTAAACAAAATAAAAATCCAAAGGTTTGAAATGTTGTCTATTAGTGATATTGATTGTTGAAATTTTTATTCATGATGCCAGATACAATAATTACAATTTCTGCCTGTTATCATCAGCTTTTAATACTGTTGATGACTTTTTTAACATATGTAGACAGTGTACTGTACATGTAAAGAGCACAAGTTGTTTGTCTCCGTACAGGAGTCTACATACACGCCGCAAGTAGAGGCCATCTCTCCCACTCTACCATCAGACCCCCGAGATGAATCCCCACTCCGCTCCACCAAAGATGATCTTCTAAAACATATTGAACAAGTAGACAGGGAAATTGCCAAGGTAAGGGTTTACATGAAGGAGGATGAGGATATAAACTGACATACAGGTGAACTTTGTTAAATAGTAATTCCATAGTCAAATTCATATGAAAATGTGCCACTAATGAAACTTGAATCTCTCTATATTTTTTGTTTAATTACCATCATTCACTGCAACAAGACTTTGGCTGCTACTAGACATGGCATTTATCTGTTGTGGCTCAGGCTACACAAGATGATCATCAGAGTCATCTAGTATAGGGGCCAGGCAGGTCACTTCTCATAAGACAGCCCACAGGCCCAAATATTAACTTTTGTAAAGGCACTATTTCTTCCACTTGCTGCAAGGAGGAGGTTGAACAGCCAAAGACGTCTGACATTCACATTTCTTACTGATTGTGCCTGTAGCGCCTCTACTCTCACTGATATGGTTGTTTCAATGGAGTGTGCTAGTGTTAATTCTATATGATGCTGAGACTTTAGAAGATATTGAGTGGTGACAAGCACCTTCAGTGCATCTTTAACCCTTTATCCTTGTAGTGCCCTTTTATTTTCCTCTTTGTTGACGTCTCCCCACCACTTGATAATGGCAACAAGGGTAATGCTGATATTTTTGTATTCAGCAGACTAGAAGGATTATAGGGAAGAAATATCTAGATTTTTCTCACTGTTGACAGGCGGAGTCCAGCATAGCTAAGCTTCGGAAAAAAGAGGGGGAGTTGCAGGTGGCGGCACAGAAGGGAGATGGAGCCAAGGCGGAAGAGGAGGACACCAAGGAACCCAGACATCATAGTATAGCACAGATTATTTATGCTGAAAATAGAGTGAGTTTATTGCATTTTTCTTCATTATTGTCTTTCGTTTTATTTTGTAAGGTTTTAGAATAAAAAATCTCTCGGTAATTTACAAAGTGTGTGTATTTGAGGAAGAGAAACGGTGTATTGGTACTATGATTACTTGGTAAAAATTAAATACAGACAGAAACAGCATTTCAAAAATTCAGTCATTCAATTAAATTTTTAATTTGAACAGTGTTCTTTAAATTTACGAAAATCTATAAGGCTAGTGATAAGATGATCAATGTACAGTATATTTTTTGTGTCTAGTTCACTCACTTATTTTTGCAATTTAAAGTGTTGTTGATGCAGATTTGTAACCCCAAATACCTGTGTTCATTCTTGGCTATCAGGTTATTGGGTATTGCTGGACAATATAATTTTTGTTGTCGGGGACAGGAAGCCTACTTAGGCTTACCGAGGTCCCTCTAGGCCAACTACTGATCTTTTTCCAGGATGCTCCTCACAACAGCTGCCTAACTCCTGGGTACTTATTTACTGCTAGGTGAACAGAGGCATCAGGTGAAGAGAAACATGCCCAACCATTTCGGTCCTGCCCAAGGATTGAACCCGGGTCCTTTTGTTGGGAATTGAGGACATAGAGCAGTGTGCAAAAAGGACCCCATATATGCACATTGTCAGTAATTCTGCTGCTAGCTATCTCTTCCTGCCTAAAGAATTTTGCCTTAAACAGAGGCTGTTGGCTTGAAGTCTGGGTAAGAGAACATGGGGCCTTTAACCCTTAAGGACTTTAATCATTAAATTATTCCAATCATCATGTGCAATTTATTTCCCCATTTGATTTTGTTGGCTATTTTTAGTCGTGTGCCCCTCGATATAGTGTTTTAAATAGCTGCACCAACTAGAGCTGTATGTGGAAAATATGTTGAGTAAGAAAGTACCAACATGTAGGGGGTTACCTTGGAATAGCTGAAATAAGATAGTTTAGTCTTGTGACTGTAAAAGTGAGAGGCCAGTTGTGTGAGAGAGAGGTGTTTAGGTGAGTGTTGACCACCTGGGAAATGTTTCTCGGTTGGTCCACCTGGGAAATGTTTCTCGGTTGGTCCACCTGGGAAATGTTTCTCGGTTGGTCCACCTGGGAAATGTTTCTCGGATGGTCCACCTTGGAAATGTTTCTCGGATGGTCCACCTTGGAAATGTTTCTCGGTTGGTCCACCTGCGAAATGTTTCTCGGTTGGTCCACCTGGGAAATGTTTCTCGGTTGGTCCACCTGGGAAATGTTCCTCGGTTGGTCCACCTGGGAAATGTTCCTTGGTTGGTCCATCTGGGAAATGTTCCTTGGTTGGTCCACCTGGGAAATGTTCCTCGGTTGGTCCACCTGGGAAATGTTCCTTGGTTGGTCCACCTGGGAAATGTTCCTCGGTTGGTCCACCTGGGAAATGTTCCTCGGTTGGTCCACCTGGGAAATGTTCCTCGGTTGGTCCACCTGGGAAATGTTCCTTGGTTGGTCCATGGGAAATGTTCTTGGTTGGTCCACCTGGGAAATGTTCCTCGGTTGGTCCACCTGGGAAATGTTCCTTGGTTGGTCCACCTGGGAAATGTTCCTCGGTTGGTCCACCTGGGAAATGTTCCTCGGTTGGTCCACCTGGGAAATGTTCCTTGGTTGGTCCACCTGGGAAATGTTCCTCGGTTGGTCCACCTGGGAAATGTTCCTCGGTTGGTCCACCTGGGAAATGTTCCTCGGTTGGTCCACCTGGGAAATGTTCCTTGGTTGGTCCACCTGGGAAATGTTCCTCGGTTGGTCCACCTGGGAAATGTTCCTCGGTTGGTCCACCTGGGAAATGTTCCTTGGTTGGTCCACCTGGGAAATGTTCCTCGGTTGGTCCACCTGGGAAATGTTCCTCGGTTGGTCCACCTGGGAAATGTTCCTTGGTTGGTCCACCTGGGAAATGTTCCTTGGTTGGTCCACCTGGGAAATGTTCCTCGGTTGGTCCACCTGGGAAATGTTCCTTGGTTGGTCCACCTGGGAAATGTTCCTTGGTTGGTCCACCTGGGAAATGTTCCTCGGTTGGTCCACCTGGGAAATGTTCCTCGGTTGGTCCACCTGGGAAATGTTCCTTGGTTGGTCCACCTGGGAAATGTTCCTTGGTTGGTCCACCTGGGAAATGTTCCTTGGTTGGTCCACCTGGGAAATGTTCCTCGGTTGGTCCACCTGGGAAATGTTCCTCGGTTGGTCCACCTGGGAAATGTTCCTCGGTTGGTCCACCTGGGAAATGTTCCTCGGTTGGTCCACCTGGGAAATGTTCCTTGGTTGGTCCACCTGGGAAATGTTCCTTGGTTGGTCCACCTGGGAAATGTTCCTTGGTTGGTCCACCTGGGAAATGTTCCTCGGTTGGTCCACCTGGGAAATGTTCCTCGGTTGGTCCATCTGGGAAATGTTCCTTGGTTGGTCCACCTGGGAAATGTTCCTCGGTTGGTCCATCTGGGAAATGTTCCTTGGTTGGTCCACCTGGGAAATGTTCCTCGGTTGGTCCACCTGGGAAATGTTCCTTGGTTGGTCCACCTGGGAAATGTTCCTCGGTTGGTCCACCTGGGAAATGTTCCTCGGTTGGTCCACCTGGGAAATGTTCCTCGGTTGGTCCACCTGGGAAATGTTCCTCGGTTGGTCCACCTGGGAAATGTTCCTCGGTTGGTCCACCTGGGAAATGTTCCTCGGTTGGTCCACCTGGGAAATGTTCCTCGGTTGGTCCACCTGGGAAATGTTCCTCGGTTGGTCCACCTGGGAAATGTTCCTCGGTTGGTCCACCTGGGAAATGTTCCTCGGTTGGTCCACCTGGGAAATGTTCCTCGGTTGGTCCATCTGGGAAATGTTCCTTGGTTGGTCCACCTGGGAAATGTTCCTCGGTTGGTCCACCTGGGAAATGTTCCTTGGTTGGTCCACCTGGGAAATGTTCCTTGGTTGGTCCACCTGGGAAATGTTCCTCGGTTGGTCCACCTGGGAAATGTTCCTCGGTTGGTCCACCTGGGAAATGTTCCTCGGTTGGTCCATCTGGGAAATGTTCCTTGGTTGGTCCACCTGGGAAATGTTCCTCGGTTGGTCCACCTGGGAAATGTTCCTCGGTTGGTCCATCTGGGAAATGTTCCTCGGTTGGTCCACCTGGGAAATTTTGTTTTCTTAGTTTCTGCACAACTATACATGGTATGAAAATAAATGTAATACTTCCAGTTTAGTACTTTAATGTAATAAGTGTATTTGTGGGTTTTTACCTTTCGCAGAAAAAGGCTGAGAAATCGCATAACATCCTGGATAAGCTGATGCCACCAACAGATGTGCCAACTGTGTTGGTGAGTATTCCACAACTGTTACTCACTGAAGGCTCCATCTAAATGGTTCTCAATGATGAAATGCATTGTTTAGGAGGTTCAGAGTTCATTGTTATATATATTACTACTTTCTTTTGAACATTTTATTTGGATTTGCTACTTTTTCTTGTAGAAGGTTTCACATGTGCACACAACAGCCACATTTAACATTCAGCATTCATTTGCAAATGTGCTATTAAGCCATAAGAAATTGAAGATTTACATAGCGCAATAAATAGTTAGTGATTCAGCACATTATCTATTGTGGCCCAGAAGGCAGTGTAAAATAATTAATTATTCGCTCTTGACAAACTTAATACAGTAGCAGTAAACACTTTTGGTAGGGTGACAGGAAATTCTACCATTTTTCTTACCTTGTTATGTCCTATGAAAGGAGAAGGGCAGGAAAGGGAACTGAGCATCACAGCACCCGGAGACCATCCCTGGGAACTAGGGCAGACCCAGTCCCAGGAAAGTGATTCATATCATGATGCCTCTAAAGCTTACTAGCTGTAGAGGGAAAGCCAAAACAATCTGGCCTGGAAGAAACATAGCCTGGAGTGGGCTCTGGGAGTTCTGCTCCCCAAAGCCTGACCTGGTATCAGGCTTGACTTATAATAACTTGGTTCAGCGGGCTGGTGCTTGAGTGGTCCGCAGGTCCATATATCTGCTACAACCCCGCTGGTCCGGCACTTCTTGCAGGAAAGTGTCTTAATTTTTTCTTAAAGGAGTCCACCATTATTCTGGCAGTATTTCTATTCAATAACTGTGGGGGGGGGGGGGATTGAATAGCCGTGGACCTCTGATATTCATACAGTGTTCTTTGATTGTGCCAGTGGCACCTCTACTTCTCACTGGTCACATTCTGCATTTTCTCCCTTGTTGTTCACTCTAATATGTTATTTTATTGGACAAATTTGACACCAGGCCTTTCAGTCTTTACATATATATTATGTGATGCCTCTCTTGTCTCCTTTCTAAAGAGTACATTTTGAGAGCTTTGATATGGTCCCAATAATTTAGGTCTGCGTGTGCCGTGTATGTTCTCTGTATTTCCTCTTATTTCAGAGATCTCTCCTCTGAAAGGGGAAGTGATTACTGAGCAGTACTCAAGGCAGGGGAGCATGAATGATTTGAGTGGTATGAGCATTGTGGTGGGATCCCTGGATTTGAACTTTCTCAATATCCATCCTATCATTTTCCTGGGTGATGCTGTACAGTATTTGCTTGGTTTTGTTCACCAAACGTCAGGTCTTCAGACATCATTATTTCCGGATTCTATACGTGTGTTTTTTCATTCTATGAGTAGATCTGATAGTGTCCTTTAACATGTATTTCATTTAAGATCTTACCATACCCGAGTACCTGGAATTTATTACCTGTACTGTTAAACATCATATTATTTCCCTTTGCTCATTCAAAGTCTTTATTGTTATCTTCTTCAGTGTCTTCTACAGAACTGTCTGTCATGTGCCGACTGCACATGGTTTTAAAAGGATGAAAAAAATGTCTTGGATTCCTTTCTAGAGCTTACCTGAAACATACGAGGTGCAGTCCTATTTGATTTAATGTTGGGGGGTGCTCCCTTCTGTCTGTCTGACCACCAATTTGGAAACTAGCAAGTCAGTCAGGGTACTGCTTTGTTGTCCCTGTGGTGCCAAGTAAGGCTTGGAAAGGCTTATGGCTGTAAACAACCCACCCTTCACCTAATATGTCACATTTTATTTGAAATCCACAAATGTTAAAAATGCAATGCGTTGTTCTGGCTGTATTAGTAAAAATTAAAAATACTAATATTGACATTTTTTCATACATCAGCATCGATAGGTGTGCTGTTTAGGTTCATATGTTTTTGGTTAGGCAAAAACAATTGCATTTATACAGAGTTGTAAATCGAGAGAATGGATTGAATAGTTTGTCACTTTGGGTGGATTTCGTTATTTTCCATAACCCCTCCAGCACCAGTAAGATCCAGCAGGGACATTTTAAAAGGTCCTGGCAGTCAAGGTTGGGTTAGTTCATCTGCTGTGGCTATTATGGACCTCTTTGTTTAGATATTTAGTGGGTATTAGAAAGCCTTAGCTTAGAAATTGCTCATTTGGCATCCTGGTATTTTTAGGATTGATCCACTTGGATATGAAGGAGGTTTGCATTGCAAGATATTTTCTCCAGTCCTCAACATTAACCACTGTACTGTGCCTTAGTTTATTATGACAATCGCCCTGTGTTCATACAAAAAATTATTCTCCTGAAGTTTTTTCATTCTAATACAGGGTGTATTGTTAAAATGCGTTCTCTGTTGACGTGAAAAAAAAAAAAAATTGTATGCAACATGCAGTACTTTGACTGTGATTGGGCGAGAAAGTTTGACAATATTGAGGCATTGAAGAGTATTTGCCAGCGACGGTGTGTTTCAGCCCAGCAGTGTGGCAAGGGTTGCCGCAAATATATTTTTCCATAATTATTTCAAGGTCTTTGTTATTTTTATATACTTTTTTGTAGTAATATTATTCAGTAGTGTGTATTTTGAAGAATTTATGTAATTAAATGTGTGGAACATCGCTATGCTAAAAAACATAGTGCTCGTATCTAGTGACACGTATATTATATTCTTATATCAAAAAGTTTTTTCCTCTCTGTTATTACACTATACACACACACACATTATATATAAGTATCTTCATTTTTGTGACCACTAAGCTGGTCTGTTGAAAGTTTATGACCTAACCACAAGCCAATGTTAGCCAAGATCCTCCCGGCAGCTCAGTGTGGCGGCAGCTGCTGCAAATATATTTGTGCATAATTACAGTATTTCAATATTTTGTATCTAATTTCTTGCAGTAATATTATTCAGTAGCATGATCGTAGCCACATGCTACGATCAGCTGGTTCCAGCAGATGGCACCTGACAGCAAAATACCGTACCCAGAAATAAACTACACACATCACTATTATTACTACAAATGCTGATAATATCGTCAGGTTCCTGTCAGTAAATCATGAATATGAATAATTTTCCACAAGATTATAATCCAAAGGAACATGAGGTCACGATTCATGGCGTGTAGTAAAAAATCTCTGCGGTGTGCTGTGAATGTCTGCCTCCTGCTGTGAACATCATAACTAGCATATTGTACAAGGATATCTCAACCTTGTACTTAATTTTTATTACTGTTGGGACCATATATGATGCTGTCATTGCACAATAATTGCAGTCACCCTTTTTATTTATCAATATTAAGTGGTGGTGTGGCCCCAACTGGGCCAGCTGTGCTGTGAGCTGCAGCTACATTCACCAGCCTTGGTCACTGGCAGTGCTGAGGCTCTCACAGTCAGGAGGAATGCAAACAATTTTTTTTCAAGATAGTGTCCGTTTATACTGGAGTCCTGAGGCACAGGATGTGAGCCCTAAAAATCCGTGGGAGTTTTGAATTTTATGATATTCTAACAAATGTGATATGCTGGTGTGCACACCCCCTTTTCCCCTTCATTTTAGTGTGCACAGTCAACCCGTTCTCGCAAATTTAATAAGTCAATATTGGCTTATTAAATATGTGCATAGGTGACATACTTAACATAATAGTTTCCCTTGAAAAGCTTCATAGAAAACACCGACCTTACCTAACCTATTTAGTATGTTAAGATAAACATCTTATTGCTTCGTAATTACAATTATTACCTAACCTATACCTATAATAGGTTAAGTAACAATTGTAATTGCGAAGCTATAAGATGCTTATTTTAACATACTAAGTAGGTTAAGTAAGGTCGGTGTTTTCTATGAAGCTTTTCAAGGGAAACTATTATGTTTAGTATGTCACCTATGCACGCAACTAATAAGTCAATATTGACTTATTAAATTTGCGAGAACGGGTTGGCACAGTACAGTGGTTAAAAAAACATTCTCGTTTTTTTGTAAGGCATAGTAGCACCTACTACACTCGTGCATTAGCGTAAGCAGTAGGCATGTGGAGCTCTTCTACAAGTTTTGTAAGTGCTACTGTTGTTCATATGTTACTTAACACCAGAAATACTGTGCTAGGTGGGTTTGTATGTGAATTGTATGATTTTACAATGAGCGAGTTCAGTGGAAGCAAGGCATGTTGTGTTATAAGGTGTTTTAATTATTCTTAAATTACCCTATTTGTATTTTTTTTTTGTGTCCTCTGTGAGACGGCTCTGTTTTTGTAAGTTTATATTTTAATATAGTTATATAGCTCAGAATAGTTTCTAATATACATATTTTAAAGTGTTAGAAAATCGTACTTGGGTCAGTGTAGAGAGGCTAGAAAATAAATTGTTTGGTATAGTGTGTTCTTGGTCTCTCTTGTAGTTTTTGTATACATGTCGATTACTGTAAAGTATTTTCTGGCAGATGGGACATTTTGGTCCACTATCAACTAGGTATATATATTGCATCTACATGCTCAAAATTGTTTTCCCCTTACAAAACCACTTAAACATCACTCTCAATGATGAAGCATCCTAAAAAAAATTCAACAAAATACCCTGTTAAAATTGGTGGGTTTTATTTGCCAGAAATTACTGTGAATACTGAACATTACTCTGATTTTATAATATTTCAAGTGGAGTAATTCTGAGCCCTTTTCTTTTCAGCCGCTTTATCATCAACCAACAGACACGGAAGTCTACATGGCAAATAAAAGACAATATGCAGGTTTCAAACGGAAATTGGTTGAGTACTTTAAGAAGCGCCATACTAACAAAAATGAGCGGGACTCCAATCTCACCCAAACGTATTCCAAACTCATGACGGAGTGGCTAAAGAAAGTTGAGAAGGTAAAGTACGAGACAAAGCGTGTTGTTACAGGGAACCAATCTGTAATGTGTTGGTCAATTTTGTAGATATAAAAAGAAACTACTGTACAGCTAAAATTGAAGAGGAATCATCTCTATTGTGAATTGGTTCATGGTCCAGTTAAAATTTTCCTCACGAGTTTTCCAGTAGGGGTGTGTTACAGAGGAGTTACAAGTGGCAGACATTTGTCATAGTGTTGTGTAAATTATGAAGTGCCTCTTACATTCCAGTTACTATATACATTGAAGGTATTATCCCGAGTGTTCCTGTAGACACTGAGGTGTATGTCTCAGAGTTATGAAACTTTATAACAGTACAACTACAGTTCTGTCAAAATGGAAGATTTCATGCAATGCCTGTGTTGGTGTAGGAGTTTTGAAGGAAATTTCTTGGATTAATCCGTTTTCATTTGCTATATGGAGGTATTTTAAACATCAATATCATTCACGTTTGTTTCCATACATGCTGGAATTTACTATTGTTTTGGGAAGTGTTGATTTTGTTTCGTTAACTGCCTTATTTGTTTCTTTATTTTTTAATATGCTTAAGAAAAATAACATTGTTGCAAATCAATTTTATTTGAGTGAGCTGTTGATTTATAGTTTTGTTATTTTCTTAGTTTTTTATAAATTAGGATTTAAATTTTGTATGCCAAAAGGACTGTATTTTCTCATTAAAGGATTTTTCAAACTTCCTGTAGCATTGTGTAATTCTCTCTTGACCCCCCCTCCCCTCCTCTTTGACTTTGGTGCTGGATTATGAGGTCAAGAACTTACAGCCTCTAGACCAGTGCCCGGTTGGTAGATTGATGGGGACTTATTGTCTGGTTGTAGATTGATGGTGGAATTAGTATTGCCTGATTGGTAGATTCATGAGTAGGGGGGGACTTAGTTCCTAGTTAGTGGCTTTATGGGGGTGACTGGTGCTTGGCTAGTAGATTGATGAGAATTGATTCCTGTTATGGTGGAATATTGGCACCTGGGTAGTTGAGATATGTTGCCAGTGCTTGTTTGAAAAGTTTGGTTAATCGCCCAGCTTGCCCTCTAACTGAATACACTACATTTTTTAACACTAAACCCCACAGTAAAATTGTTGTGGTTTAAATAAATTAAAATAACTGGAATGTTGGTGTTCCTTGGGGGTAATGATACGGGTTAAATTAGGTTAAATCAGTTTCCTAAGTTCTAACGCCTCTGATTAAGCAAAACTGCTGCCTTTTTTACCGAGAGGGTTTCAAGAGAATGGGCTAAATCACCATATTATGGGTGCTTAGTTGCATGCTTCATATTTTTTTTCTGCTTTCCAGTTTGGCATTTGGAAACATCATGTAATTCCTGTATCTGTACTTGTAAATGTTTAGGAATCTTATTTATCTCATGACTGGAGAAGATTTGCTCATCTGGATAATGCCTATAGTTCATAATTTAAGTCTGTGATGGTTCTTAAGTTTTTGGTACCTTAGTTCTTTAGCTATAGTTTTCCTTTGAAAATAATTTATGCTGGACACCACAATTTTGGAAGAATATTCACAAGACAAAATACTAATTTTAGAACTTAACAAAACTTGGCTGAAGGTATCCTGACTCAGCACCAACTTGGATCCCTTCAATGAAGATTACTGTAGATGGAATAAGATACCTTTAGGGAGATCGGACAATAAATGGTATTCTGAATGGGTATGGCCATTGGTAAACCTAATGCTGGTCACCTTTGCTGATTGGACAAGACAGGATGCCCTGGTGATGTACAGAGAATATTTTTTTATATTTGGCAAGAAGCTTTGAATTTGGTTTACTAATGTATTTTGAATTCTAATTTTTAACCAGAGGCCTGAAAATGCCGGTTAGAAAAAAAAGTTGGTAAAAAGGGATGTGGCAAGCTGGTAAGGGATGCATGACAATAGGATGGGATGCAGCATAATTGGTAGAGATGTGGCAAGAGAGGCAGGGATATGATAGTAGACGAGGGACACGACACAGGAGATGGGGGAATACTGCATGGTAAATGGGAGTGTGACACAGTTTAAAGGGGCATGACCTGATAGAGACTGACAATTTGAGAAAGCAGCATTGTGTTGAAGGATAAATTGAATAAAGGATGACTATGGCATGAACAGATACGGAATGCAAAAGCATGACAATAATTAGATTGGGGTATGTGATTTGTTAGTCATGTGGAACAAATGGATAATGAGCACTGAAGAAAGTGCATGCATTGTACCTGAATGGGGTTCTGGGAGTTCTCCTCAAGCCCAGCCCGGGATCAGGTTCAACTTAAGAGCTTGGTCCAACAAGCTGTTGCTTGGCGCAGCCACATACCACTAGAGTCCAGTTGGTCTGGCATTTACAGAAAACTGTCAACTTTTTTTTGTTAAGACTTCCAAATTTGTTCTGGCAGTAATTTCTTATACTTGCCTGGAGTATATTGAAGAACTGTGGACCTCTAAAGTTCATACAGTGTTCTTGAATTTTGCCCATGGCACCTCTACTCTTCATTGGCTCTATTCTGCATTTACTTCCATATCGCTCAGTCAAGTATGTTGCTATTTAACTGCGCAATTTGGGACCTGACCCTCCGGTATTTTCCATGTACAGTATATATGATTTATTACCCCCTCTCGTCTCCTTTCTAGAGAGAGTACATCTTGAGATGTTCCCAATTGTTTTACTGTCTTGTGTTTGTGTGCCGTATATATATTCTCTGTATTCCCTCAATTTTAACAATCTCTCCTGCTCTAAAGGGAAAAGTGAGTATCGAGCAGTACTTGGGTAGGGCAGCACAAGTGCTTTGAACAGTATGATCATTATGATGGGATTCCTGGAGTTGAAGGTTCTCATTATCCATCCTATCATTTTTCTAGCTGAGGCTATATTTGCTTAAATATGCTCTCTAAACATTAGATCATCAGACATCATTATTCCCTGAGGATTTACACCTTGCTTTCCTATTATGGGTTGATTTTCATTGTGTTTTATACCCTGTATTTTGCTTAGTCTTTAATTTTTGCCATACCTACATACCTTGAATGTGTCACTGTTAAACATCATGTTATTTTCTGCTGCCCAATCAAAGGCTTTAAAGAAGTAATAATTTTCATGCTGATATTTTGTCATTGTAAAAGATGACACAAAGCTGTGACATACTTTTGTCTATACAGTATCTGATATGAGAATAAGGAAAAGCAGTGGTGCAAGGACTGTGCCTTCACATACAGAGTTTTTCATTGTGCTTGGAAAATTTTATTACTGTTACTCTTACTCTTTGAGTAAGTAAAACTTACTCTTACTGTTACGACTGTTACTCTTTGTGTGCTGTTTGACAAAAAATTTAATAGCATCACCCTGCTTTACCTGTAAAGTAGGGTGATGATTAAATATTATCACCCCTACTTTACCTACCTACTTTCAGTAGGGTGAAATAATATCATTCACCCTACTAAATGTCATCACCCTACTTAATATCATTGCCCTAATTTTTTTTCATAGTAGTAGAATAGTTGCAGTCTTCCTGCTCTAATTGCATTTTGGCCTGAGTTGTAGAGGTCAGTGGCCTCCATAAGACTGGAGAATTGACGCGTGATCACACTTTCAAAGACATGTATTATGTGGGATGTTGGTTCAACTGATCTATAATTCTTAACCCATGCTTTGCTCCCTCCCTTCTGTAGGGGAGCTATACCTGTTGATTTAAGCTCTTCTGGTATCTCTCCTGTATCCAGACATTTTCTCCACTCTACACTAAGTGCTTGTGCTACTGGGATTTTTACATTCCTTAATGAATATTGCATTCTATAAGTTTGGACCCAGGGCTGGGTGCATTGGTATTTTCTTAACTTCTCTTTCAAAAGCTGCAAAGTCCGTGACGATATCGGCTATATTTTCAGGGGTTTGGATATTATGCATAAAGAAGCTGTCTGAATGTTCGCTTTCATGCTGTTATTGGAGTGCTAAACATGTCCTCATTTTTTTTTTTTTTTTAATGAATTAATTTCTTTGGCATCCTCTGTGTATGAATCTTCTCTTGTAAGTATAGGTTCAATATTGACGGAGATTTTTTATTTGGATTTCGTGTATGTGAAAAAATATTTTTGAATTATTTGTATTTTGTATGGCTTTCTTTTCTAATTGCGTTTCTTCAATCGGCTATGATTGTTTGTCTGTTCTATTTCTTCAATATCCCTGTTTAAATTCTTCTTTCCTCTTAGTGATAGTTGTCTGCTTAACCATTACTGTACCATTATTTGTGCCCCTTCTTCTGTAGTGCTGTCTGCATTCTCTTTCTAAGCTGGACATCTTTGTGGCTTTCAACAAAGGAACAGGGTTTCTGCCAGTCAATTGTTGTAATACTTGCATGGGATTTTTATTACTTCTCATTAAATGTTTGTAAGTTCATGTTTATGTTTCTGAGGCTCTCCTTTTATTATTAAAATTGAATTTATTAAATATTTTTTCTTTCCAGATTATTGTTTTAGACCTATTATGAGTATTGATATTAGTTTGCACTTTTGTGAGCCTGTGATCTGAGTGTGTGTGTGTGTGTGTTTGCATGAAGGTTATGACTTGAGAGAATAGTAAGGCATAGGGGATGGGATATGGTGTACAGTCCTACATTTCATTAATGAAACTAATTATTAATGTGAATATTTTGCTAATTTGATGTCACTAGTTTCCTTTGATACTACTGAACATTGTAGGTAATATGTAATCCAAACTGCACTCAAGTAACTTTCAATCAAAGTAGGATAATAATTAGTAATGCCAATTCATTGTTACATCAGAGTCACTTGCCCGGCTTGACCGTTGCCATATCTGGACAAGACATTGTTGTAACAAAGAATCGCCATTAAAAACATTGAACTAATGTTGATTAAATGTTACTTGAGCATGATTTGTCTACTGAGACTGACAGGGGGAAGGCCAGGGTCACTATATCTTGAACATTTTTGTTTAACATTATATGTACAAGCCATTCAGTGGAGTGCTCTTCCAGACTGAGGGACGGAGGGGTTATCCTGGTACTGACAGTGATGTTAAAAACTTAATTGGAAATGATATTTATTTAGCATTGTGAAGTTTAGTTTAGTGGATAAGCTTCATGATTTTCACAATTTTTATTTAATGAAGGCTGGGTTTAAGTAGAAACATTAATCATTAAGTTCTTTTTCTCTCATTAATTTATTATAAGAAAGTACAGTATTTTGTTTATATATATGGGGTAAACAGAATTCTGTATTATTAGTTGGAATTAGAGAAAACAACTAAGAATGATCCATTTTTTTTTGCTATACTGTTACCTTGAAAATGTGTGTAACTGTCAAATTTTGTGGAAATTCTTTGATTGGAAAAATTTACCTTGGAGGGGATGGTACATCCCAGACTAATTGTATGAAAATGGTGCAGTGTGGGTTTATTCATTGTAATATTGATTGATTATTTCATGGTGCTTAGGTTTGGGCCTACCATGAATTACATTATAGGCTTATTTACTAAAATTGATTTATATGCTAGCCCTCTCATGCTATATGAGAAATATGTTTCTTACCAATTGTTTAAAACAGGCAAAATTTCAATTGGCCAAGCTCGTTAAGAAATGTTGGCTGAAAGGTTAAGGTAAATGTGAGGAGAGTGTTATGTTATTGTGACTACATAGCACTTTGAAGGGATATGTAGACAAGGATCTGGGATAGGACAAAGGGGAAGGAATGGTGCACAACCACTTGGACTATATGGGATCGTACACCAACCTGTAAGAAGTGAGGTCGTCCCTGTACTAACCAGTCCAAGTGGTTGGTGCAACATTTTTAGGAGGTCAGGGGGAAGCCTGACTACCAGAATGGAAGGTCTAATCCTCTGGGTTAAAAATATTCTGGTGATCTTCAACGGCACGAGTCCACCCATCCAAGCATCAGTTGTGGAGAGAATTCTTCTATTATGCAGGTACCATCTGGTAGGTTTGATGAATTTCCCTCCAGCTTGGCCTTGTGAGGGAAAGTTGGTGCTTTTGTTGGTTTCCAAGCCATATTAATAGTTTTGTGCCATCTCCTCAATACTTGAGCTTCCTTACTGTTCTCAGGTTAGAATTGCTGCCTCCTCCTTTAGCTTGGCTCCATTATATTGTTTTTTTTTTTTATTTAAGCAAATTTGGCGAATCAAGTGGTAGTATATATATGGAGGCCTCCATATATACATTAGTACATATGGAGGCTTGGCAGGTATTAGTGTCACAAGGTAGGGCATCTTGCATATATGCATATTGGTCAGATATTAACATATCCAGCCATATGGTAATGATTTGTGCATTAACAATGTTGTCCAAAGTCTATATTTATCACAAATGAAATGGTTCATGAACTGGGATGCGTCGAATAAACTAGCCTACTGTATTTAGTTTTATCTAGACATGGGCAAGGGGATCTTCATTGTTGGGTTAGTCAAATTCTTTTCTTTTATTTCTTTGTCTGCATTTATGTACGTACATCTAGTAGTGGTCCTTTCAACGCGTGTCTGTTCAGAGTCTGTTCCTTCTCCATCTATGACTGTCTTCTTTTTCAGGTTGAAAATTCTAAAAAGCATAAGGAAAAGGTAGCCAAGAATAGAGAGCTGTTTGAAAAGGTCTTCCCCGAGTTAAGAAAACAGCGAGAGGAGAAGGAGCGTTTCTCTCGAGTTGGCGCTCGAGTCAAGAGTGATGCGGAGATGGAGGAGATTATGGATGGTTTGCAAGAGCAGGAGGTGAGTTGTTTCTGGGTCCAGTTCCTGAGCAGTGTTAGGTGGTCGACTAATTATTATTTATGTTTGCCCTTGTAATAGTATTTTCTTATAGGTTAAGCTATTGGATAAGGGTAGACACTTTTAAATAATGAGCAGGTTTTGTGAATGCCCTGGAGTGGTTGCTTGGAAAAGTTGTCAAAAGTTGACAAAATCTCTGGTGGGCAGGGCCTGGATTTATCAAGCATTTATACATCAACTTTTATTAGACTTAAAAAATGCAGACTAAGGACTAGATATTAAAAGTGTTGCCTTTAAAGTTCATGCATAAATTATGAGGTTTTCTTCTTTTAGGCTATTCCAGTAGTTAAGTTTGAGATGCACAACAAAATCACAAGACAATGATGTATCCATGAGAAAATATTGAGACAATACAATGGGTCAAAGCTACGTCCCTGGCTTCCCCGGGCACACATACTTCCGACTAGGGAGTCCAGGGATGCAGGTTCCATCCCATTACGTGGCCTCGGTATTTTCTCCTAAATTTGGAATAATATTCTGCATAAGAGAATAGATGTACGGTGTATATCATTAATGGGAGTGGTTGGCATCCTTTGGCTTTGCCTTTTCTCTTAATCCATTATCATAAATTAAGATAAATTTTTGGAAATTTTTGGGATTTTGGGAAAATCATCGAAGCAGGGCAGAGAGATTGATCACCCCAGACTCACTCCTGCTCCAAAGATTTTCCCAGATATATCATGTTATTGTGATTTTATTGTGTACTTTGAGAATTCTGGAAAGGGCATTAAGTGTGTGTGTGTGTGTGTGTGTGTGTGTGTGTGTGTGTGTGTGTGTGTGTGTGTGTGTGTGTGTGTGTGTGTGTGTGTGTGTGTGTGTGTGAAACTTGACTTTATTTGCTGACACATACACTTGCTATGTACAAATGTGGTTCATTAAACTTATCATTCAATTGTTAGTACGGTAGTTGATGTGTCTCGTTTGTTTGGTTGGTAACATTTTTATTGCACATTGAGCAGTAGCCCATTTTGAATTGCTTGAAGTATGTGTCAAATTAAGACTAATATCACTTGTCGTTCACAGAACGAAGATAAGAAAATGCGAGCTTATGCTGTAATACCTCCAATTCTTTTGGAGGAGAAAAAGAGACGACACCGTTACATTAACCAAAATGGACTAATAGAGGAACCAATTAGTGAATATAAGGATCACAAAAATATAAATATATGGACCGAGCAGGAAAGAGAAATATTTCGTGATAAATATTTACAACATCCGAAAAACTTTGTTGTGATAGCAAGTTATTTAGAGAGAAAATCAGTGAGTGATTGTATTCAATACTATTATAGCACCAAAAAGAAAGAAAATTATAAGATGCTAGTGAAAAGGAGAATAAGACGACCACGGAAACCCAACAATCAGCCAGTGGTGGAAGTTTTGGGTTTGAACTCTACGGGAGTGACGACGAGAGGTTCGGTGGCGGCATTACGGACGCAACAGCCCTCTAATGGCAACAGACCCATATCCATGACTGGTGTACAGGAGGAGCCACAGAATTACTCTGTAGTTAACCCTCCATCCAGTGTGGCCTCTGGTCCCTCCCTTTCTGCCACTGCCAACAATACCCCTGCCACCTCCCCGGGGCCAACCCAAACCATGGCCTTGGAGCTGTCCACCTCCGTTGGAGCGACCCCCATCGGCACCGAATCTTCTAATAATACCACTACCAATACTACTCCTACTATATCTAACAAAGAAGTTCAAGAAAAGGACAAGGAGAACCTTTCTGTCAGGTAAGTCACATTTAGAGAATAGTGATACTTGCTTGGCATCTTGATTTTATTAATATACAAACTTTTTAAATGTTTTGTAATTTGTGAGGTTTGGTTTGTTATTTTTGTTGACAGGTTATGTTTTAGCATTATACCTCATAAAGCACTGGTACACACCCTCTCAGTAGATCAAGCATTTAAGTTAATAATAATAATTTGCAGGTCTAATGGTTTGCAATGTTATTTTTAGTTCAGAAAATACAAGCTGCAACTTTAACAATTTTCCCACCATGGTCCCCCAGTACCACACATTCTAATGTGCTTGCATTTATTTGCCAACATGTCTGATATTTGGGAGGAAATACGAATTAGTACTTTGGGAGGAAATTGTTAAATCTTGAGGTATGAGAGGAAATAATTGTTATTAAAGATTTCTCTGCTACTTCAGGAGGATTCTGTAATAAGATTTCCTTACTTCTAGGGAGGGATTCCTGAAAATTTTTCTCTACTACTTGCTGGGATTCCATAGTGTTTCTGCTACTATGAGAAAGAAATTCCATATTTTTTAAAAGCAATTTCAATAAATTTGAATGGTCACTTTACTAATGCTCACTAGAAATGTTGGCTAGAAAGTGCAAATAAAGTTAGACAAGACACTGTCATGAAGCTAATTTTTGCTATGTACAGTATTGTAAAATGTTATAATTTTATGCAAACTTTTGTCACCGTTTTTCATTCAAGAAACAAAATTCACCTGCAGTGTTTTGCATATCATGTATTTTACTGCTTTTAAATAATCAGAATGTTTTTAATTGACATTTTAATAATGTTTGCCATAAATAAATATTTGAAAAAACTGTACCATATGTTAAATTGTGCCATATTTAATTGATAGGCCTGGAAGTAAAAGAATTATGATCCTTTATGGTAAAAATCAGTCTTTCAAGTTGATATTAATAATCATGATCTAATAGACTCAATAATTATATTACTGTACTCATTAAAGATTCATGTAATGAAAATATTTTGTAGTGGGTTTTGGGTATCTGAAATTATCACATCACCGGCTGAACAAGTGTAGTTTGTAGTATTGTACATATTGGAGAAAAATATATATTTTGACATAATTTCAGTTTAATGTGAACCATTATCAAGTCATTCACGATCGTGATGGGCCATGTCATGTGCACCGTCGTGACGGGCCATGTCACGTGCACCGTCGTGACGGGCCATGTCACGTGCACCGTCGTGACGGGCCTTATCACATGCACCGTCGTGATGGGCCATGTCACGTGCACCGTCGTGGCGGGCCATGTCACGTGCACCGTCGTGACGGGGCCATGTCACGTGCACCGTCGTGACGGGGCCATGTCACGTGCACCGTCGTGACGGGGCCATGTCACGTGCACCGTCGTGACGGGGCCATGTCACGTGCACCGTCGTGACGGGCCATGTCACGTGCACCGTCGTGACGGGGCCATGTCACGTGCACCGTCGTGACGGGCCATGTCACGTGCACCGTCGTGACGGGCCATGTCACGTGCACCGTCGTGACGGGCCATGTCACGTGCACCGTCGTGACGGGCCATGTCACGTGCACCGTCGTGACGGGCCTTGTCACGTGCACCGTCGTGACGGGCCATGTCACGTGCACCGTCGTGACGGGGCCATGTCACGTGCACCGTCGTGACGATACAAGCCAGATCAAAAAGTTGTCCAGATTTCTTCACTTAATACAGTATATGGTTACCAACCTTACCTTTACATGGCAAACAGTCGAGGAAATTCACAACATGCTTTAACCAGTTATGCCAGTGGAGGTTAACATGTGTACAAACATTGCAAAGGCTGCATATAATAATCAGAATGGCAGGTACTACAATGCTTCCTCAAAAATCCAGACTTACATATAACTGTTCCTACTAAACAATGGACATAATTTGCTAACTGGATACCCCATCCAAATTTTAATTAAAAAAATACAATCTGATTTCAGGAGACGAATGCAACGAAATTCGGATCATTAGGTTAAATATTTTCATGATTTTACTCTTTCTTAAATTTTGTCCCTGTGCTTTTTTTAATGTTTACTAGAGGTCTGAATTTAAATTAGTGGATGTGCCAAAAGTGTGTTTATTAATTGGAGCAGGTTTCCAAGACATTTCCTAAGTGAACTTTATCATAAAAGATTCTGGGTATAGGATAAGATAGATGGGCTTTTTCATTTTGAAAGTGAAGGATAGTGAATATTGACCCATATCTCCTTAAATATTACTATTAATGGGTTAACAAAAAGGTCATAGCATAAAAGACTTTTGATAAGTTAAATTCAGCGGAGGTTTGAATTTGTCTCGGCGGTGCCAGGAATGTTATTCTTAAAAATGCATCAAACCACATCAAACCCGGGAGCCGGTCGGCCGAGCGGACAGCACGCTGGACTTGTGATCCTGTGGTCCTGGGTTCGATCCCAGGCGCCGGCGAGAAACATTGGGCAGAGTTTCTTTCACCCTATGCCCCTGTTACCTAGCAGTAAAATAGGTACCTGGGTGTTAGTCAGCTGTCACGGGCTGCTTCCTGGGGGTGGAGGCCTGGTCGAGGACTGGGCCGCGGGGACACTAAAAAAGCCCCGAAATCATCTCAAGATAACCTCAAGATAACCTTAATTATTTATTTGAACAACTGAACTTGTTCCAAAGATATTTAATAGAAAATCTTAAGCTAAAGAAAGAGTTTTGTGAGAGGAAAATTGAATGTGGCTGGCTCTTTTGCACCAAATGGGGATTATGGCCCTTCCCCTAGAAAATAAGCTTTCGGAGCTGCATCCTTCGAATTAATGGAAATGAGGATCTGGAAAGAGTACATTTGTTAGTGTGGGTGCGCACTCCCAGGAAACGCCAGGGCCACCTTGGGGTGGGGTTGGTTGGGGCTGGGCGTGCGTGCCGGGTGCAGAAAAGTTTTAAAATAATTTTTTTTTTATTTCCATTTGAGTTTTTACATTAACAATATTATTTACATTACAAAAATTTTTAGGTTTTAGAAATTCAATTTTTGTGCTGTAACAATGTAAATAATATTTTTGAGGAGCACTGTACTGCTAATTTCACTTGCAGAGAACCAACTTCATTATATATGTTCTGAAGTGATAATGTTTTGCAAAGGAAAAATATTAAAATATCTATTATTTACTTTCTGATACTTGTACAGTACTTATTTATTAAACTATAAAAACAGCATTTTTTGATGAAATAAACAAATAACAAAATGACAATGTAAAAGATGATAATGGAAAATATTTCTTTTCTATTACTTACTGAAGTGCCATTCAAGTATTGTATGGAAATGATAAACACAAAACAATCTTTATTGATCAAATAAATATAATGTATTTTCTTATCAGCAAATATTGGTGCACTTTACACATCTGTTGCATGACCACTGCCTGTGTTTGCAGGAAGACATGCAATGCATGATCATTGGTAACAAAAATAAATCTCTTATCCTAACCCCCACATGAAAAGATGCGATGACTATTTAGTCTGTCCTGGACCCTTATCATGACTAGATAAGGGTTCAAGCCAGAGCAAAATGTTGATTTTTTTTTTTTTTTTTTTTTTTTGAGATATATACAAGAGTTGTTACATTCTTGTACAGCCACTAGTACGCGTAGCGTTTCGGGCACGTCCTTAATCCTACGGTCCCTGGAATACGATCCCCTGCCGCGAAGAATCGTTTTTTCATCCAAGTACACATTTTACTGTTGCGTTAAACAGAGGCTACAGTTAAGGAATTGCGCCCAGTAAATCCTCCCCGGCCAGGATACGAACCCATGACATAGCGCTCGCGGAACGCCAGGCGAGTGTCTTACCACTACACCACGGAGACTGCTAATTATTAGTTTTTTTTAGACTGCTAGTTATTTTCTTTTGTTTTCATATGTGTGAGTTGAGTTATTAATTTTCAACCATGCTATTGTGACTTATTCTCTGCAATCTTGATTATGACTGATGCATACTATAATTTGATTAGTCTGAAATGATCAGATATACTTGTAAGTTTCATATTAAGTCGATGACAACTTTATATAATGCATCAAATTGAAATGATTGTTCTGCATGATAATATTAAGCAACATGTAAATAGCATTCTGCACATTCTGCACAGGGGGCCTCGTAGCCTGGTGGATAGCGCGCAGGATTCGTAATTCTGTGGCGCGGGTTCGATTCCCGCACGAGGCAGGAACAAATGGGCAAAGTTTCTTTCACCCTAAGTGCCCCTGTTACCTAGCAGTAAATAGGTACCTGGGAGTTAGTCAGCTGTAACGGGCTGCTTCCTGGGGTGTGTGTGTGTGTGGTGTGGTGTGGAAAAAAAAAAAAAAAAAAAAAAAAAAAGTAGTAGTTAGTAAACAGTTGATTGACAGTTGAGAGGCGGGCCGAAAGAGCAAAGCTCAACCCCCGCAAAAACACAACTAGTAAACACAACTAGTAAACACATGGTCTTCTGAAGTGATCGGTTGCTCCTGTAGATGATTTGAGAGTAGTGGAATGGATGGGCATTTTTTTAATGAAGTGCTCTGCTGCTTTTAGTAACCAGAAATAAGATTGATTTTAGCCAACTGCTTTTAGTGTATCTTGATTACCTCTTGATAATTTTGAAAGTTGTTCTACTCCTGGAGCCTGGCCTGTGGCCAACCTTTCCTAGTAATTGTCTGTTATGTGAGATTATTTTCATAGCCCCAAGACTCGTGTAGCCATCACGGCCAGGTTGAAGCAGGTCTACTAGGCGTCTACTACTTGCTCTGACAGCTAAATTTCATGTCTTCTCTCACATGACATTCCTCTTCCATGTCTTACATGAAATACTTTTAAATAATTTAGAAATTTTTAATATTTTATGGAGTTCCCCTTAGACTTCCATGTTACTGTTATTCTTTGAAGCTTATCTGATTATCTGTTCATTGACAAATCCAGCACTTTATCATAATTTCACTAACATCAGATAATGAGTAGTTTTGCATAGGCAGA